TTGATGAAATAGAAAACGGACATTTTGCCGTGAACACTTATTAGTTTCCCCCAATACGCGTGGGAGTAATTATGAAAATTATGTCCTAGAACAGACGAAAGACTTCGGTAAATGCATCTTCCTTTATGAAGTCCCAAGTGGTCCACATCTTTATTAATCTAGGCTTTTAATTTTTATCGCTTCCATATAAGCTAATTTGTTGATTGTGTACTTATTTCGATAATATCAGAGTTTCTTTTTTACCAGAATAAAACTGCTTTACTATTTTTATGGTATTTAAAGGATGTTTGTTACTTAATTAAATAAAGAAGAAAATCTGAGTAATATATTGTCGTTTTAGGAATAATCGTAAATAGCATATTTTAAGGGAATTCTGCACTTAAATTTCATGAAATAACATATTCTAAAATCTTAAAAATAGCATATTTTTAATAATTTTGCATGTAAATTTTCAAGATATACTTCTTTCTTGAGAAATACGCATGTGAAAGGTCATGCCAAAAAGTGATAGAGTGATTATAGTTCTTGCAAGAATAAGCAAATGATATTAAATGCTATTTATTGTCGCGCTTTAATATACCTGTGTTCTATTTAGCTTATAAAATTTGACATCTATATTTTTTACAAGAGTCCTTTAAGTTTTGGAGTTGAGTTGCATAACTTAATCTGAAAATGATAGTCGAAATATCAAGTTTTATGTATCAAGTTATAAGACTGAAATTTAAAATTAATTTTGTAAATTTTAATCGGGAATTTTTCAGGTTTTGAACGTCCATATTTCCTAAAAGAGTAACTTTTTAAAACGGTACCACGACCATTATAAATTAATCTATAACTCTGAAAAACAGGTGCCGTAACCTGAAATTATACATCAACTGTAACTGAATTTTTGCATTACGAGTGACTTACAAGAATTTATTTTACAAAGTAGCTAATTGTAACATACATTTTTTTAGCAACGATATTTTGTATAGAAATCGTTCTTTAAAACGCTGTTGTATTATTTTGAGTTGAGAGTTCCTTTAAGATGGTACCACAAGCACTGGATTGTGTGTAGCTTTGTCTGAAAACGTGTGTCGAAAGTTGAAGTTATAGTGACTGAATTTTAACGTTACGAAAGAAACTTAAGAAATAATGTCACGAAGTTGCCTCATAAAATCGACTTTTTTATTTAGTATTTTTTTCAACGCCAATATTTTGTATAAGAGTAATTTTTTCTAAGTAGGGGTGCCATACACTTTCGAATAGATCTGAAACTCAGTCGGAAAATGGCAAATGAAATATTGAATCTTGGGTGAAAATAAGACCCAAATTTTGTGCTTATCTTAGAAAATAATTTTTTCCAATTTGCATCACTTCATTTGTTGACTCCATCGACAATATTTTCTATAGGCGCCACTCTTTAAAATATGGCGGCACACAAAGGAATTTATCAAATTAATTTTTTGATGATTGAACTAAATGATGAAAATGATTTGAACTAAACAACGTTAAAAGATTGTTAAACCTTTAACGCAGAATTTTTATTAAACATATTTTTTAATTTAGATCAAAATAGGTGAAAAATATTACATTTATCATTTTAATAATTTATGCTTGTGAAAAAGAGCCTTGGTAACCCAGTGGTTTTAGAATCGGACTCCGATTCAGTGGCCGCCACCATGACCCTTCGAATACATGCGATATACTTGATCGTAAAATCTGTAGAAGCGGTCACTGAGCGGTACCTTGGGTACAGGGATCTGGAGAAAATTTCCTTTCCCTTCAGATTTATGTCTAAGTTGAGGAAGTGGCCTCATGAATGAGTCGTGCTGCCATCTAACCGTNAAAAAAAAAAAAAAAAAAAAAAAAAAAAAAAAAAAAAAAAAAAAAAAAAAAAAAAAAAAAAAAAAAAAAAAAAAAAAAAAAAAAAAAAAAAAAAAAAATAGACCGAAGGCTGACAAGCTTGGCTTGTCCAAGTGTAATTAGAAACATGGTTACGAAATATAGCATGAAATACTGATATCTTTTTCTGCGTCAAAGGTAAAACCTTTTAAACACAGCTCACTTCCAAACAATAATTTTTCAAATTTGCTGCTTTTTCGATCTAAGAGAAACAGTTATTCATTATTGAAACTTTAGTTCGCAAAAGCAATTTTTAATGAACTAGAGGGCTCCGCCCCCTGCTCGCTGACGCTCGCCAACCCCCGGAGAATTGCTTCGCAATTCTTGCTTGGTTTGCTTCGCAAAACCAAGAATGCTTTGATTTCATATATTTCAATATTAAACTGAATATTAACTGTTATCATCGAAAAGAATTAANTTTTCGATCTAAGAGAAACAGTTATTCATTATTGAAACTTTAGTTCGCAAAAGCATTTTTTAATGAATTCTTGAATGTGAATGGAAAAAAAATTATAAACTGCATTTTTGGATTTTTTATATTAATACAAATATAATTCCGATAGTCGAACACATTTTTAGTAACTAATCTGTTATTTATAACTGTTATTAAATTAACGAACTGTTATTTAATTTTAACTTATTTATAATTAAAAATTACCAAAATATATTTTTGTAATTAAAGCGCCAGAAAAAAAAATAGATAAAAGGGACATCGATGTATCATCTGCCTCAAAAGGCTAATCATGCTTGTTTTAAATTACTCTATTAATTTTTTCAGAATACTAAAAAAAGCGCGTTTGTTATACTTAGTTTTACTCTTTTAATAAAAGCGTTTAAAGCTCAAAAGACCTTTTCTTATACTTGCGATTTTTTTAATATTTTGAACAACGAAATAGCTAGCAACTTGTTTCGTAGTAATTATTACATCTACTTTAACATCTTCTTTGTTCAATAGAGTTACTTATGTTGTCGTCGCTTAAGTCCATTGTTCTTACGAGAAATACGATTGGTAAACGTCACGCTTCCTGTCAGTTAAATAACTTTAAATTTTACAACCGCAGAATGAGTGCATACTTCTCATACCTTACATTTACTCACATTTTAAATTATTGTAAACATGTAAGTAACAAATCAATATAAGTATATCGATGGACCTAACTTTATTTATTTAACTATTCGTGTATTCCTTTCAGAGCTAAGATTTAATTTTGATAATTCTTTAAACAAATTTTAATAAGTGAAAATTAGTAAACACGTTCAAAATAGGATTAAAAAAAATGGCCAAAAAATATTTAAGAAAAAAAACATGAAATAAATGAAATGTAATATATTTATAAAATTTAAAACTTATAAAAATTCAATTTTACTTCCTAAAAAAATTAAATAGATAAACGCAAACTAAGTTATGTTTTTTTATTCATGAAGATTCAAGTATGAATTTATGTTAAAAACAAGTAGGAATTTGCGTTAAAATCAAGTATGAATTTATCTTAAAATCAAGTATGAATATACGTAAAAATCAAGAATAAATTTATCTTCAAATCAAGTATGAATGAAAATATTTTGCTACCACATTATATACAAAATTCAAATTTTTTCGGAACGTCGGAACCAGCCAAATTTCTCCCAATACTTGATGCAGGAGTTCCCTTGTCTTCTGGATTGGGTTCAACATTACAAAGCTACGGAGTTTAACATTAGTAGTCGTAAATCCAAAAACTGGGTCAGCTGTTCAACGACGGTTATAAAATAAAATAAAATATGAGTTCTCTGAACCGTGATGGCTCAAGTGATAGAACGTTATCCTTCCGTTAAGGTGAACCAGGTTCGAATCTCAGCGATGGCTGGTCGATACGAATTCCGCATCCTGCTTGCACCGACCACAGTGGGAAATTTCCTCAGTGGTAGACGGATCATGGGTAGGAGTTCCCCTGCCGTTAGGCTAACCGTGTGAGGTTTTCGGGGTTTTCCTCTCCATGTAACTCAAATGGGGAGTTAGTTCCATCAAAAAGTCCTCTACGAAGGCGAATTTCTCTTAATATTTGATACAGAAGTTCCCTTGTCTTCTGGATTGGATTCAAAATTACAAGGCCAAAAATTTGGTTGGCTGTTTAATGACAGTTATAAAATAAAAATATGAATTCACCAATAAATCTTTCGTTTCTCTTAATTAATCTTTATTAAAAAATGTATTTAATGTTACATGCATTAATATTTCTAACTATTTCCAAGATATTGCAGTTGAAAAGAAATATTTAGATGCGAATAAAGAATATGAGTGAGCAAAATTCAAAGTTAAACAGCATTTCATTTAATCATTCGGTTCTTTTAATGTGTTAAGATTCTTCTTTATGACGTTTGTGCTTCGTGTTTTTTTTTTTTTCCTTAAAAAAATTCATATTATTTTTTGAAGCGTGTTTGTGCCCGTAACTATTTTGCGATCCTCCTCCAAAAGGAAGTTAAATAAGCACGCATATTAAGGATCGCAAATTAATTTGTTAGCAAGGAAGGAACGGAAACGCTGTCAAAATCTGTCGAATCACTAGTGAGGAAGGGGGAATGGAAGGAATTAAAACTCAATTTGATTTTCTGGTAAAACGTGGATTTATTTTAAATAACCGCCTTTTAACTCTTCTCTGTTATATCCAGAAGTCAAACAGATTCAATTTTTTTTAGTTTCTTAATAGTGATTCGTTAGATTTAGTGGATATTTTCTTTCTGCGTTGAATTATTAATTTGCGATCTCTAACGTGCATACTTTATTGATCTCAGTTTCAACAAAGATTTTAAAAATATACATTATAGGTGGTTGTTACAGAACCCCCTGCGCATCGAGGTGACCCCCAAGCAGCTAAATTCCTTTACTTATATCTAAAAAACCACTAATAAAATTCTCGTATTTTTTTTTTTTTTAAATCAAGTGTGGTTTAGGATTTTAATTATCAAATATGTTTCATTGTTAATATGTTTGTTATTGAGAATAATTATTTAGTGATTAACCTAATTATTACTTAGGTAACCTAATTATTATATTAGGTAACTGTTACTTTAAATGTAATTGTTGTTTAAAATACTTTCTCAAATGTTCGTAACAGAAGAGAAATAATTTGTTTTAGGGTCTGTTTGCATTTCTCCTGGTAAGGTGTCTTCACCTGGAAACAATTTTCCATATCATCATTATTTGGTAAGTGCTTTTTAATTAATTATTTTTATCTAATTATTTTCAATTAATTGTTTTTTAATTAATTATTTTTTAATCAGTTATTTTTGTAAAAAAAAACAATAATTTTTAACCAGTGTAGAAATTTTTTTTTTATTTTTAATCGGATAATTTTTGTCAATCTATGTAGTTTTTGAAAAGTTTATGCATCAAAAATGGCATCTTTCTTTAAAACTTTATATTTTTTTTAAGACATTAAACGTGTATAAATTATCTTTTAATCTTAGTTTTAAGGAAATGTTTAAAATTACCATTTAAAGCGACTATTTACATCGCATTGACATCCTCCAATGAAGCTGACGTCACAAATACCGAAAAACAACGAAGGGAAGAAACCCGAAATCTGCCGAAGCAAGCGTGACGTCAAACAACCGGAACATTTTCACAGCGAAAAGTTGACTGCGCGTTGGTTCCATTGGTGGGTAGAGTGTTAGTTCGCAACAGACTTGTGTTTGAGGTTATTATAGTGTGGGGGAAAATCGACAGCTTTTATAGTGGAAAACCTAGGAATAAGCCATCGTGGATGATTATCTATAAATATTTGTGTGTTTTTCTACAAGCGATGAAGGAATGCACTTAAATTTAAAATCATTCTAATTAAAGTGAGTTTATTTAGTTGTTGTTCTATTTATCTTAAGAAACCTATCAAAAAAAGCTTTTTCGTCCTTTTTTTATTTAAATTTTTGTTTTTAAAGTTGCTATTTTTATGAATATATTTGAAAACATCTGCAAAAATGTTTTAAATCATTTATTTCGAGCATAAGTGTTGATTTCTAAGCCCTGTGTCTTTAAAAAGTTTTGCTCTGCATAAAGTGCACTTAGAACCAGTATTTAGATAAGTGTTTACATCTTACAAACAAGTTTACTTTTAGAGTACGCTTGATTTAATGATAAATAATTCCTTTGTTTATTTAAGAATTGCTATACGGAAGGGGAAATAATTGTTGATTATATTATTTATTTATTAATGGACTGCGCATTTAATTGCTACATGTTGTACGCGATTTGCATATTAAGAAAATTTTCGCTTCGTTAATTTTGTTTCACTTAATTGAGATTATGTTATCCGTAGTGCTCGTTATCATCTAGAATTTGCATGATAAAATGGTCTCTTGCAATATTTGTTCTTCATTACCATATCACAAAGCAATAGAATTCATTCAATATTGATGATTAATATTCTTATTCTGATACTAAAACAAACATAGCTTTTATTTATTCAACGTATGTTAAGTTTTAAATAACATCAATTTGTTTTCAGAATTTACAATCAGTGCTAGTTTTTGTTGATAATCCCAGATATTTATAGCACGAGAGGTATTTAAATCTGTAGTAGAGGGTTTTGTTTGCCTTCAAATATTCCGTATCAGCGATTGCTTGATTTTTTATAAACAAACGCCTGAAATATTTAAATTAGATAATAAACAAAGTTAATTTACGTTTCTTCATTCAATCATTCAAGTTTTCATTCAGTTTCTTCAATCATTCAATTTTTTGTTGATAATCATACATATTTATTCTAAGATGCGTATTATAGTGTAGAATCAAGAATAATTGCTCAATTCTACAATTGAAATTCTACAATTTTGCTGTTGATCAGTTTCTTAATTTTTGTAAGCTAACGTCCGAAATATTTACAATAGATAATAAACAGTTAAACATTTTAATGCAATAGAAGTTTTTGTTGATAACTAATAATAATAGATAATTTACGATAAATTGATTATTAATAATATTGTTAATCGTAATCAACAATCATAATAATTAAAATCATGATCAACATTAGAGTATTAATAATAGTCATAATAATAATTATGGGATATGTATTTAATACTTTAGAGGGGAATTAGTTATCCCCCTACAAGTTTCCTTTATAATTAATTTTTGTAAACTAACATTTGAAACATTTTTAATTGTTTATGAACAACATTATTTAGAATTTAGATTACTCCTTCAATAGTTTTTTTTTTCGATAAAATTTTTTTAATTTGATTATTTTTTGTGACCAAATGTGATGTATGAGATGGTGTATTTAAATAGTTGCTTTTAAGTAAAGGGGTAATATTTTATTCCCCTTCAGTTTTTTGACTAACTAACGTCTTAAACAAAGAAAAAAAAGTATTCTTTAAATATTTTCGAATAAATGCACGCTTAATATTTTGTCGAAATTAGTATGAAATAAATTATTGCCAGAAATATTTTAGGAAGATCCTTCGTATACCTACGGATTAATTTTATCACTACAGCTTTGTATGAACTAAATTTTACTTTAACTTTTTGAATAAATTTTCAAGAATATTTTGTTACAATGAGGGTGAGGAAATTTTTCTGGAAGATCGGTTAATGCTAGTAGTCCTAAAACTTGTGAATTACCTGTACTTCATTAATTGTTAGCGGAGATTCAAGCTGAACTGTTATTTTGTTATGCTTGTGATTTGTGTGCAAACTTTATTTGAGCGTACGTAAATATGCTTTAAATTTATTCAGTTTGGTTTTTAATAAGAAAATTTAGAAGCTAGAATCAGTGTATGACCTTCCAGTATGATACTTTTTTTTGCGATTTTAAAATTTGGAAGAAAAATTTGGGAAGAGAAAAATTTCGAAGAGCTCATTAACGGGTTCAAATTTCCCCTTATTGAACTTCTGCCTTATTCTAAGGTTTAATTTAAGTTTAAGTTTTAGTTCGGTGCTCTTCAATAATTTATATCCATAATGCATTATTTTTTAAAGAAAATAAAACTTCACATAATTTATAACGCAAGCATTTTATTTCGCTGATGGTGGAATCTGTTTTATTTATTTATCGTTCCTAAAATTATGAGAATCCTACAATTTTCCAAGCTTGAAATGTAACATTTTCGTAACAAAATTAACTCGAATTATTTCATTATAAGTTACAAATGCATGTGAAAGGTAAATCAAAAATCGCGAGTCGTTTAATAACTAATAAGAATCTTTTAAGCTAAAGCTTAAAAAAAAAAGGAAAAATTCTTATTTGGTTTATTGACTATCTTCGCTGTTACAAATTTTAAAAGTCAATAATTCTAATAAAATTGTATTAAAATCAAACTAGAACTTTTAATAAGTGAGTATAAAATGTATGAAAATTATTACAACCAATTTTTATAATAACATCCATTGTTGAACAGCCGACCCAATTTTGTGTTTACGACTACTAATGTTCAACTCTGTAGTCTTGTGATTTCGAACCCAATCCAGAATACAAGGGAACTCCTCGATTAAATATTGGGAAAAATGTGTCTTCGTGGCAGATTTAGATGGAACTAACCCGCATTTGCCTTAAAGGGAGAGGAAAACCGCAAAAACCTTCCACGGTTAGCCCAACTTCAAGGGGATTCTAACTCATTATCTGTCTACCACTGAGGATATTTTACGTATGTATTGTGGTCGGTGCGAGCCGAGTGCAGAATTCGTATCGACGAGCCATTGCTGGGATTGGAACACGTCTCACCTTATTAGGAGGCGAGTACTCTATCCCCTTAACTACCACGGCTCGCTCCCAGTTTATACGTACTGAAAAGTACGTATGCCAACTAGTACGTGACACAATACAAGCGTATCGGACTGAGATAATTTATGGGTGATCTTGGACCACTAAAGTCGGAAAGGTTCGTTTCATATATAATATCGTAGGCCCTGAAGGATGAATCTCGCGTTATCAATGTGATCACGGGCCTGAAAAATTTGGGGGGGAAATATAAAGAATCTTCCTTTTTCCCTTCCATTAATCAATGTTAATTTATTTCATAATTTACGATAGTTTAATCGCATGGTAAAGGTTACATTCCATTAAATTAAACGTGATACAGTGTTTTTCATAAAGCGTTTGGAGGAATTTTCATAACTTTATTAGAGAGCTTCATGAATAATATTATTGATGCATGTGTAAAGCTTGAATATTGAGTCATCAACCACTTTAACTGTCGCCTTTCCACCTGTTTAATGTAAAGTTTGAAGATTAAGGTAGTAGTTATGATAGACTTCTTATGAAAAGTCTGTTTTTGAGAGATTATGAGTATAAAATATACTGATAAATTTGTGAATTTATGAAAATAGATTAATGCTTTTGGGGTTTGATGAAAAATTACTAAAACTAGTGGCTTGCTTGTTCAGGCATTTTGTGAAAAATCATATTTTTATTTGTGAAAGATGTACTCATAATTTTCTGAATCGAAAATTACCGTGGATTCGGATTTTTTTCCTTCAGGGTTCCATATTTGTCAACGTATGGAAATTAAAGTAATGTTTTTGTGGGGAAATAACCATGTCTTTAAAGGAGTTTTAATTTTAAAATAATGAATTTAGAGACTTGATCAACTTCGAACTTTTCGAAGGAATTTTGTAAGATACTGAAATATTGTCTAGTGTCCGTTTTTAAGATTAAAATTTTCAGATAAAAGATAAAGATAAAAATTGTTAGGAGATAAACATTGTTGTGATGAATCCGTTTTTAAGATAGTGTTTTGTGAACGATTCGTTTTTGCTGCCGCAAAACTTTTTAGGACCGTTTATGCTCGGTAAAAATTTTTTGAAGAAAATATTATTAATAAAAATTTTTATGAATAGTCCATAAAATTTCTTTTGTAATGATTCCTATTGAAATATATAAATATATATTTAAATTCACCGTATAACTTAAAATGGGTCTTAGTTTTCATTTAATAATAATACTCCATTACCGTCGTCAAACAGGTAAACCATGTTGAGTTTGCGACTACCATTGTTCAACTCCTTAACCATGTCATCTTGTATTACACTCAGAAGACAAAATAACTTCTAAATTAAACGTTGGGGACGAACTCGTAATTGGAACTAACTGGTGTTGGTCTGACATGGAGAGGAAAATCACGGAAAAGTTAGCCCGAAAGCAAAACAATTCTAGCCACGAGAGATACTATACGTGTACGTGAGCCCGGTGAATGCCGGAGGGTAACTCAACCCCT